CCCACATTGTATACGCATGTCTCACACTGTCAATCTACAATGCTCCAAATCCACCCATCTAAATACTCCTCACCCCATTCATCCAACAAATCCTCAGAACACCACCACATCACACAAGAACCAGCAATAACACACACATTTTCAATACCCCACATTTTCCACCCAAAATGTCCACGCCCACCAACACCATCACCTCCCCTTTCTCCTCCCCACCCCTCATTTCCATCCCCACACCCCACCTCTACCCGCCCTTCCCCTGCACTCCCATCCTATGCCCTAGCCTGCCATCAACCACCTCCGTCCCACTATCTCTCTCCTCATACCACGCCAGCCAGCGCTGGATGGCAGCCGGCGCGTACTGGAGCGTGCGCAGCGGACGGAGTGAGCAGGATGTTGGGATGGTGGATTTGGAGGAGATGGGGGATTATTTTGAGGGATGCGTGGACGAGGAAGAGGGGTGGACTGAGGTGAGCGACGAGGATGAGCAGGAGGAGTGCTATGACGATGAAGGGTTTTATGAAGACAGCTCGGAGGAGGAGGAAGAAGATGAGCAGTGGAGAGGAGTGTCGACCACTGCTCATTTTTTGGAATATCGCGTATCACCATCTGTGCACGTACTAGCTCCAGAAGCACATTTCGCGTCGGGCATGCGGACTCTCGAGGAGCTGACGATGGAGGAGTTATTGGCGGTAGGTAGGTCGATGTTTGAGAAGCGAGTGGATTCGCCTATGCGAGGAATACCCTCGCCTCCAACATCTTTTAGGTGTAAGGCAGCACGACGTGAGTTTGATGCTAGTCTGGCTTTGCTACCACCTCCGCCGGCGCGGTTTCTTGCCAGAGCGTGTAGAGGTGAGTAAGCTTTTTTGAAGTTTGCAAATGGCATCGTGGTGCGCGCTGAATAGTTATTGTTATCGCGCATGATTGTTTTGTAGATAAAGGATTACCTTGCGTCGAATGATTACTGCTCGTGACAATTTGGTAATAACTTTGCTTACATTGCTTACCATGCTTACCGTGCTTATCAACGTGTCTATTCGGATGATGTTCTGTTCCTCACGTGACCTACCAGGCTGCGCTAAGTAACTCTGAAAAAGATAGTTTCAGGCTTTCGACAATGCACAAGGACATGCTCTTGGCGGAACGTCACAATACCACTTTCACTGACCCAGCCACCCAATTAACGTCGCACGTGTTGGAAGAATTGGCCGCATGCGGAAGTGAAGTTCACGACGTGTGGAAGTCGCGCCGAACAATGCAGCTGCATAGTGACAACGGCGAAAAAACTCCAGACAACACAGTTCCAAGATGCACTGCCAGGCTTGGTGTATCGGTCAGCGGATGGCGGAGGGCTGGCGGGTGAATGCAGTCCGCGCTGCCAAGAGCCCTCCGCCACTGGAATGTACTCTGGCCTCGGTCTGAATGTACTCGCGACGAAACACAAGAGTGGCAGTGAGCGATTAGAGTCGGACTAGAGGGCTTGGCGACTTCTTGCGTTTCGTTGCCAGGGTAGATGGCCAGGGCACGGTGAGATTGGTGAGATTGTGAGATTGTGAGATTGTGAGATTGCACTAGCGGCGCTCGGATATGACGTCGCGCACGGCGAGGTTAGATTTGGCGTCAGCAACAGACATCGTGGACCCTGTGCGTGTGCGGACGAAAGTCGCGATGGTTTTGTCCAAATGTCGGCATGCTGCGAGTGAGGCAAAGCTTTGGGCAAGCTCAACGTGCGCCCGAGATTTTCTGTGGTTCTCCGTCGGTGATGCGCAGGGGGAGTGGAGCAGTGGAGCTTCGTCTCGCGCCGGCGATGCGCTGGATTCTTGGTTTCGGGGCAGTGCTCGCCAGCCTCCCAAGCTCCTGCCCTGCCGTCATCGCAACGCGCAGAGACACCCGCTGCTGCGCTGCTGCTGCGCCCTCTCCCCCTCCTTCATCAACGCGCTAATCGCCTCTGTCCGCTATCAAAATCCCAGACGAGCAGCCCAAACTGATCTTCATCGCGGACTAAGAGCTGCACACTTTGCGACTTCACCTCCCCCTGCCGAGCCAATTGCACCGCGCTTGGAAGCTTGCAGCAGTGCCAACCACGGGACCAGCAGTGTCGAGGTCATAGTCATATACAGCCAGCCACTCCCGGTCCATCGCGGCCCTTTGCCTCTGCAGCGACCACAGTTATGAGTGAGTACCTAACCATGGCTCATTGAAGCATATTCCCCGCCCTGTCCCCGTCACGCCCTCTCCCGCAATTGGCATCGCCCAGCCTAGTTGGACCGCGTCTCTTGGTATTCTCAACACCATCGCTCGCATACCATCAGCCTCTGCGCCTGCATCTGCATCTGCATCTGCATCTGCATCTGCATCTGCACAGCTGGCCTTGTCCGCACATTCCAGCCTGCATCACCCTGGTGCAACCTGCAACCCACCCAGAGCTAATCGTCGCGCCGCACAGAAAACATCAAGAGAGACTTCCACCGCATGGGACGCCACACCTCGTACCCCCAGAACCAGCAGCAGAACCAGCCGCAGACCATGCCCGCCCCCAATGGCCGCTACCACAACGAGACGACGCCGCTCATCGGCCGCACCCAGAACAGCGAAGACGACTCGCGCTTCAAGACGCTGCCCAAGCACGTCGTGCACCTGACGTATGCCACGCTCGCCAGCAACTATGTCAACGTCCTGCTGGTCTTTGTACCCATCGGCATCATCGCCGGCCTGATGCACTGGAACCCCACGGCCGTCTTCATCCTCAACTTCATCGCCATCATCCCGCTCGCCGCCCTGCTGAGCTTTGCGACCGAGGAGCTGTCCGCCAAGCTGGGCCAGACGCTCGGTGGGTTGATGAATGCGACCTTTGGCAATGCCGTCGAGCTGATTGTGAGTATGCGCCGGAATGCGCCGTGAGTAACACTAACCACCACAGGTCTCCATTGTCGCCCTCAAGGACGGCGAGATCCGCATCGTCCAGTCGAGCATGCTGGGCAGCATCCTGTCCAACATTCTGCTTGTGAGTCGCATCACTCACACCCACCCACTCACCCAAATCTGACTCCTCCAGGTCCTCGGTTGCTGTTTCCTTGCTGGCGGTATCCGCGAGCAGGAGCGCAGCTTCAACGAGACGGTCGCCTCCACCATGTCGTCGCTCATGGCCGTCGCCTCGGCATCGCTCATCATCCCCGCCACCCTCTACGCCGTCATGCGCAACGGCGACAAGCACGACCCGGCCACTGACGAGAACATCCTCGTCCTCTCCCACGGCACCTCCATCATCTTGCTGATCCTCTACATCCTGTACCTCTACTTCCAGCTCTACTCGCACCACAACCTGTTCGCCGATGTCGAGAACCAGGGCGGCGAGGACGAGGAAGAGCCCCAGATCCTGTCGCCCGTCGCCGCCGGTGTTGCGCTCGTTGTCGTCACCGTCATGGTCGCCATCTGCGCCGAGTTCCTTGTTGGCAGCATCGACTCGATTGTTGAATCTGCAAACATCAGCAAAACGTTCGTGGGCCTGGTCTTGATCCCGATTGTCGGAAACGCCGCCGAGCACGTCACCGCTGTCATCGTCGCATACAAGGGCAAGATGGACCTCGCTATCAACGTCGCCATTGGCTCCTCGATGCAGATTGCCCTCTTCGTCACTCCCTTCCTCGTCCTCCTCGGCTGGGCCATGCACCAGCCCATGACGCTGCACTTCCAGGGCTTCGAGACAATCGTCTTCTTCATCTCGGTCCTGATTGTCAACTACCTGATCCAAGACGGAAAGAGCAACTACCTCGAGGGTGCCATGTGCATTGGTATCTACGCCATCATCGCGCTGGCCTTCTACATCTACCCCGACAACGCGAATGGCGAACTCGGCCCCAAGTTCATTGCGAGCTTCTTCGAGCGCTCATAATCACCCGTCCCAAACCAAACATATAATTGAAAAAAAGGCGCGTCGCAGCGCGACCGTCGCATTTCATTTCATTTGTATATGACCAATGCTCCAACTGGACGTATCAAACCTTTTTTTCCTTGCAACTGTTGTTCCCTTGTACGAGTAGTCTATCCTGGGTGTACTATTTTCCTAGATCTCGATTACAACTGGCGTTTACAGAAGTGGCTTGCTGATCGCCTGGATTGGGCAGGAGATGCGGAAGACGCGGCATTTAGTGTGACGGGGTTGGCGGGGTGTGATTGGAGGAAAGGGGATGGTGATGGGGGAAGCTTGTATATGTAGTGTACCAAAGTACAATAAAAAAGTTTGAAAAGTAATGGTTTGTTTTCTTGCGTGAAGTACGAGTGAGCAGTAGTAGGCTTCTTACATGCGTAGTCGGGGACTAACATTACCTGACATTCCAACCTCATCACAGAACCAGGACATCATCCCACTACCCACCACACCTCTCTCAACACACACACTTCAACCTACCGCCTCACATCCACACCCAGCCCCGCCGCCCACACCAAATACCACGTCCGACTCGCCCCGCCATCAATCCAGCTCTCGTCCCAGAACCCATTGATCCCATCTCTAAAAAACGTATAACTCGCCCGCGCGTCGATGAGCGCTAGGTTCGCGTACAGAATCCCGCGCCAGCCGCCTGCATCATTTCGTTAGTAAGGGATGGATTGGTGAGGGGTGGGGTTAGGCGGAGGGGAATAGGTATTTACCATCAACGTTTGCGCGCCCGTTGCTGAAGAATTGGTCCCATTCTTCTTTGACAAACGCGCGGGGGCGTAAGTAAGAGGTGGCAGGGCTGAGGGGGAGGATGTGGATTGCGTGGATTAGGGAGGGGGCGGTGCCGAAGTATGTTGTGTAGTCGACTTTATTTTCGAAGAGGATGCCTGTGATTTTGTTCTGGACAAAGCGCGGCGGATGATTTGTGTTTGTGGATGAGAGGTAGAAGTAATTGGAGAAAGAGCGGGCTTGGAGGGCGAGGGTGAGATTTCCTATTCATCTTCGTTAGCACACTCCCTTCTTTTACTGCATAGAGGTGGAGAAAGAGCCAAGGTAAGTAGGAGGCCAAACAAACCTCTCTTCTCCATCCCCCCATCCCCACTCACCCGCCCCCACATCTTCACCGCAAACCCACTCCACCCATCCTCACTCGTACTCTCCTGATCCTTGCCGTCCGCCGCCTCATACAACCCCTTCGCCCAACTATGTCCATGCCACCAGTCGAAGCTGCGCTGCCACGGGAAATCCCTCCCATCATACTCCGCCTCGGAGAAGTCCTTCACCAGCATGTTCGTTCCACGCTTTGTTGTCTCCCTGGGTCAGCCAGCCCGGGTCGAGATATCCGATGACAGCCGCCGTGTACACGAAATACGCAAAGTGGAAGTGATGGTCGTTGTAATACGTGTTCCCAAAATCTGCATTGGCGTCTGTGAAGCCCGCGTTACTCACCACCCCTTTCCACGTATCGTCGTAATACAGCGGGTGCAGTTGTTGATTCGCCACCCACCTGCTCATCTCAAGTTTCAATTTCTCCAGGCCTAACGACGTGAGCGGTTCGTTGGAGAGTATGTCCCGACACACCCACACGATGGTTGCGAACTTCGCTAGCGATTTGCCCGCGTAGTACATTGAATCCTGGGGGATGGGCTCGGTCATTGCGCGCCGCAAATCGCGCTCTGCGACGGCGGCGATGAGCGCGAGGACTTCGGGTGTGTAGCGTGGTTTGGTCGTCATGCCGGGCGTCCAGGGCGCAAAGCCCATGGTCACGGGTAAGTTTGGTTCCACGCAGGTTACTTTCTCCGCCCAAATCGCCGTCGCGAGGCCTTTGGTCGTGGTGCGCAATTGCAGCTTGCTCACTTGCGCTTTTAGTTCTGGATCTAGAGACTGTATATGGTGCGGCAAAGCGAATATCAATAGCGGCGCGGCCCCGATCTTGCTGTACTGGAATGAATAACTGCCTTTGGTGTCGTTCACGACGGCAGTGAGTTTCGCGGACGTCACGAAGCTGCCGCACGCGCGGTCGTATAGCGCCTCTCCCTCTGCGCCCAAGGGGTTCTTGGCGACTTGAATGGTGCCTTTGAAGCCCGGCGGTCCGATGATGGTGTTGGGATCGAGTTGGAAGAACTTGCCCGCGTCGTAATTCACATCCGGCACAGGATTGACATACACCAGCCAATTCCGGCCAGCGCAGTCTTGCACGCGGTACTTGAAGCTCTTTCCAAGGGTAATAGGGTTGCTGAAATCGACGAAACCTTTGCTAGAGGTCTGGATGATGGGTGTGGCGGTGCGGTAGCCTGCGGTGACGAACGCCATGCCCTGGACCAGTGGGAAGGTGATTTTGGGCTCCGGGGAGGATGGGATGCGCAGGTTGATATTGACGGAGAAGGGGGTGTGGGTGTCTGAGGTAAGTGTCGTTTGGGCGTCGAGTTCTTTTGCGGAGAGGATGAGGGACTGAGAGAGGGGGTTAATGTAGGACTGGGAGGTTTGTTAGTCGTGAATATCCACATTGAGATAGGATGGTGGGTATGATATATATATACCTTTGCGGGATCTCCTTCCCCATATATCAAATCGCTCTCTTCGACGTGGCTAACACACATCCCGAAGCTCTTCATCATCCCAGGCTCATCGCGCCCCTTTCCCCACCACACTGCATAGGGCTGCGTCCAAACCGGCCTATTCTGCTTTCCCAAGAACACATTGGCGTAGAATTTATTCGTATTCATCGTTCTCTTGTCGTCATCTTCGACACCCGTCCTCGGCACGGGATGATGGCGCCCAATCGGTATCTGGGGCAGGATATTGTCTTCCTGAATGCGGATGAAAATGTTATCCGGGGGAATTTCGACAACAGCACTGGAGGAGGAAGAGGGCGTTCCGAAGGGGTGGAAGAGGGTTTTGCGGGCGCGCGAGGGTACGAGGGAGTCGAGCCAGGCGGAGTTTGTGCGTTTTAGGGGGGGAGGTGTGGGTGCGGGTTTAGACGGTGAGCAGCCCATGAGAATGGTGGAGGATAGTTCAGAGGCTGAGGGAGCTCTTAGGAGGTCGACTATCTTTCTAGGTCGCAATATAGGTATCGTTCGTGCGGGTAACAATGTGCTCTGCGTGTGGCGTGCCCTGTAGTATATGCTAGGTGATGTCGTAGGTGTTGTAGTCCTGTATTCTGATGCCTGAGACGGCAACTTCTTGATCGAGACCCATGCTATTGTCGATGCTGCTATCGAAGAAGGAACAATGATCAGTTTGCTCAGGCGTGCGAAGTTCGCGCATTTGCGCAGCCAGACGCTTGTTAACGTACAACGGTGAGATAAGTACTTGGCAGCTTGACGAACAAGGCGTCACAACCTCCAGATGATCTAAATCGTTACTTTCGAGTAATTGTAAATCCAGGTTCAAGGCGACACAAGGCTGGAAAGTGCTTCCGTGCGTTTGCGAGCAAGTGCGCCCGCATATACTTCAAATTTCCTACAATTGCAGAACACTCTCACATATACTGCGCAAAGGGCGTAAATACATTCTGAGTCAGCAATATATGTTCAGTCGCAATTTGAGGCACCGTGTTTGGTGTTCTCATGGACAGCTCCATCGCAAGCGGATACAGAAAGAGATCGAACAGTGAGCGCGTACAGCTGCAACAATGATTTTCCCCAAGTACCCCGCTCCTGAACGCATCCATGATATGCTAAGTGTACCATTAGATAAGAGAAGGTAGATAAAAGCGAGATCCGGAGTGTAGGTGACGGGATCCAAGAGCCGTGCTTTCCGCCCCGCACGAATCAAGCCGCGCGTTACAACACACATAATTTCGCCCATCTCTATTGAATCTTATCACGCCATTACTTCTTGTTGCGCAACGGTCATTCGTCAATCCTCCATGTAGCAGTCACGGGTATCGAGAGTCTCATGTCATCACTCGCCCCGCCAAGTACACTGAGCTCACAAGGACCATACATCCAAACCTTGATGCTCGATCAGCATCTGGTGTTGCCGCATTCGAGCAGGACAGTAAGGATTTCTTTCACTCAGGGCTCCCTGTTTGTTGCGGCACAGCCCGACTGCATAGCGGCACAGGCAACGCCGCTATCACACTCTGCACCCCCGACCCCCGACCCCAATGATAAATATCTCTTGCGCTCTCAAACTTTGCTTGACCTCTCTAACCTATCTACTTCCACTCCACGAACTCTGCTCGACTTCCACCAACAAACCATATAACAAGCAACGGCCAATTACACCATGAAGCTCACCATTCTCGTGGGCGCCTTATCCGCCGTCTATGTCATGGCCTCACCCCATGCTGTACTCACCCAATCTCTTCCTCGCCTCTCACTCACTAACAACCTTCCAGAGCCGTCTCAACCGCCCCTTCAAGGAGGTCCAGGTTGCCGCAACGCCCACGGCGAACATCCCATCCGGCACCTACCAGATCGCGTGTGTCGAGTGTCCTTGCGATGTAAGTCCCAATTCTCATTCATCGTGTATCATGTTGTTTGTTGCTAATGAGGATGTCAGGGCTTCGATGGCCCCTGTCACTGCGTTTCGGATGGGTGCTGCTGCAATGGCGGTCCCATTCAGCCTCCTGCGACTGGTTGGAGGAACGCGGATGACATTTAGGTCAGGGCTAAAGGAGAGCTCAAGTTGGGGACGGACAGCAGCACATAAATTCGCGACTGAATGATACGTTGCTGTGCGTTTCATCGTCTCTCTGACGTTCTACGATAGTGGCCATAGATGTACAAGGCAGCAATTAGGCACTCAAGGTAGCTCAAACCTACTTTCTAAATTCCAAACTCTTCCATGATTAATTCTCATTGGATACCTTAAGACTTGTACCAAAAATCGCCGGAATGGGTCCAGTTTTGGCGCAGCGTTATACTGAGCGAGATGTTCCGGGAATAGGCAGGTGAGGCCAGAATGAATAATTCTACGCTGAAGTGGAAGGAACATGGAGTAGTGAAAGGCGCAAGTCAATCTTTAAATCTTTTGATTATCTTTCATACTATTAAAGTGTCATCTCCGCTCGGTATAATCTCACGGTCGAACACAGGTTATGCAAAAGCTGTTTGGTCGGTCATGATATAACGGCACTTTGAAAAAGGGTTAGCGAGAGTTTGGCTTGAGCTGAGTTTGTTCGAGAGGGCAGTGAAATTGGGGGGAGCTCAAAAATGCGCTTGACATCTTGATAGAGTGGTGTTGGGGTTTCGGGTTGGTAGGTCAACTTGAACAGAAGGTGTGAAGTGGCGCTTCTTGCCGCCGTTCTTTGTGGCGTGGAGACAGACGAGTAACGATCGGAATGAAGTTAAAGATAAGGTTTCAGGCCGCGTAGTGGCATCTGGACGTGGTTGTGACTGTAATGCGAACATAGAAAAGCAAGCATGCATCATCGCTTGCGTGTTTATCAGAAAGACGATAGGTAGTCTTAGCAACGACGCAGGAGACGAGAAAGTAGCGCTAGTTTCCGTTGAAACTTAACTAAAGAAAGCCTCGCCATTCAATCAACATCGTGTCTCTTGTCTTATGTGTACTGTCGTACTCACACAACACGACAACCCTCATCACCCTTCAGTAAGCCTACGCCGTTGCATCTTGAACATCCATAGATCCTCATGCTACATTATCGATCTAGATTTTCGGTCTCAAGAAACTGCCAAGTACAGCACTGATGATTCTGTCTGCTAAGATATCAACACGACTTAGAAATGAGGAGCCAATCTATGCACTGACTTAACGAGATTGAGGTTTTCTCGACCCACGCATGGTAGCCAACAGTAGCCCAAGAATTCCAATTAAGACGGTAGTGATACCGAATACTATTGCGATTACATCCCCCGTCGATAGAACTTGGCTGCAGCAAGGGGAAATAGGTGTACGCATTGTTGACGTAGAATTTTGCAGGTGTGTAAAGGACATCATCGCGTCGCTGGCTATTTCCATGAGTTAGATAGCCCAAGAACATAGAAATCGGTGTGGAAAAATGTACTTTGAGAGTAAGCACGAGCGAAGGCGTCGAGATGAGAAGGTATGTCAACTGGAGCTCCTGTTGAGCTCTTCTCTAATATGCGCCATCGAAAGGATTCCTTCTGCAGATATAGTTTGATATGTAGGAATCGAGCTGAATTATTCAAAAAAAGTAGATAGAGAGTTTTTGCTGGATGGGACTGTAGGTGGGCATTCCTAAGTTGAAACGGCCTGGCGCCCGCCCTTGTAGGAATATTGCAGCAAGATCCTGAAATCATGTTACACCATAAGAACTTCGCCACTGCTTACCACAAGCTCGCTTCTACAGTCGGATGCTAGGAATGTCGAGTCCAGCCTCGCGTACAAAGGTCGACTTCACCTGGGCAATTGCCACACAACATGCAAAAGCATGTTGTAGGAATGGGGTGATGATTGCATGTGATTATGCAAGATAAGAATTATGCGCAATTCCTACATCAGGAATCGTGAGGCAATCACCACTGCGTGATTGTGATTCGATGTACGGTTTCGACCCCGCAGTGCTCAGCCGCAATGCTGACCGGTCATATGCACAATTCCTACCGCCAGCAAAGCAGCAAGAATAGGAATTGGAAAATGAGAAAATAAGCATACATATAGCTCACCACTTCTCCCTGGATCCTCGTTAATGTACCTAGGTAACACACTCCATTGTGCTCATCAAATCGTTATTGAAAGTCGTGCAAGCGACAGAATTTATATCCAACGCTGGGGAAGATGCGAACCCCAGCGTTTGAGTTTGTGGAGACCAAAGATGGGTAAGACACCTCCTGTGTGCTGTGCAAGTCCAAGGATACTGACTTCCCATCAGCCAAGTCGACCGTACATATTCCTTCGGCAAAGGAGTTTTTAAACACCATGGCGACGATTCTCCCTCAACATATTCCTTCCTCGTGCACAAAAACCTGGATGCGAATGAACTACGGATCACAATATGTAGTCCTTTCCTGCGATACATACTTGAGTTAACCGACACCTTCGTTCTGGACATTCCTGATATTGCCGCACGTTATTGGTTCCTCCAAGATCGTTTGATCGAGATGAAAGCACACGGCTCAAGAGATGCGAATTCTGACGAGGCCAGGGAACTCGAGCTGCTCATCACAGACTTCCTTGTCGACAGAAACATGTTTTGTGGTTTCGACCTCCAGCATTTCTATGATCGTGGAGTCACGTCTGCTGGCTTCTGGCAAGACATGCAGCATTCATCAACCATGAAGGATCTGAATCTTGTTGATCATGCCTTCCAGAATTTTGCTTTACGCGAAAACAGTGTTGAGCATCTTGCCATGTCATGTACAGTTTCGACTCCTACTGGGACATTTGATACATCTAAGACGGACAGAATTTGTAGCTCGACTAGGAATGCACAAGAGGACGGCTACTTTGATCGCTGGACTGAAAGCCATTCAAGAGGTCATCGCATACTCAAGTCTATCCAACATCATCTCAACAATTTTCAAAGTTGGGACGAAGGCTGGAACGATCCGGTCAACGTTGAAGACTGCTTACAATGGTCCCTGGAAAGCGCCTTTGATTTGAGTTTTAAAGAGAAAGAGTTCCTTGACCGCATCGTGGCCACCTCCTACCACTCCTATGAGATCAAAAAACTTATCTGCCAGCCACAGTTTAAAGATAACTGCAGGTTGAGAGGCATTTTTATCATCTTTAACAGTTGGAGACAAGATCGACTGGTCTCAGAAAATTTATCCCTCGATTCCTCTTTCCGCAGTGTGCGCCGCCTCGATAGAGAGGAAAAGAGAGACCTTGTGACAGTGAGGCTTCATGCTTCATTCAGGGAAGAACATCGGAATTTCAACGTCAAGATGGCAGAGTGCGAGTTCGGTACGAGAATCTTAAATCAACGGTATCACAAGGCCTGGGACAAGGGCGTCGCTACCATACGCCGGGTGCTACAAGGCAAACGTCCGGATACACTCGAGCAGATCTGCCGGCTATTACAGGTGGCATTTTCAATGGGTTCTCAAGATCCAAGTAACACGGATTTCCGTGCGAAGTTCGTGGAAGATTTAGCTCGGTGGAGGACCATCGTCCCACGACACAGTCTTCACTCTTTCGACGCCATCACCAAAGCAGTTTGGAACAAAACTTTCGAAGGAGATTTGTCGGACGCTATACCCGAATACGGCTCCGATGAGACACTACTTCGACTCCAAGAGCTACTCTCTGGGCTCATAGCTTGCTATCCCCAGGTCAATCTATCAGAGGGAGAGCCGCCGCCGGATCCACAAGTGCCTCAAAATGAGAATGACTCAGAAAGTGCAATCGACATCAGCTACGCGGCAGTTCAAGAAGTCCTCGGTGAAATGAAGGACCCGCGAGCGTACTCTGAGACCAGACAACTTCCCATTGGGGTAGAATTCGCAGACTCAATCCTCATATTGCTAATGGCTGGTGCTATATTTGGATTTATAATCGCGTTGTTCGTGAGTAAGTTGATATTCCCGGAATACATTCATTTTGAAATCACTAACGCGCAATGCAATGTAGTTCTCCGATCATTCCAGGTGCCTGCACTATGCGCCTGGTTGGAAACCGAAGGGCAGAAGCTGGGGTTCGAGAACTATGAGGAACGAAACTTGTATATGCTTACCCTGTATGTGGGATTGGGGCCATCTACCAATTGTCTGAAGAACAAGCGTCCGTGTGTGCGTGAAAGCAGTGTGGTGGATGAAGCATCTCCGGATCCAAGGTAGAGCGTTCGCACTGTCCCTACGAGACTTACATACTAACTGTACATAGCGTGGGGGCTTCCGTGGTTCCAGAACCGAGGACGATAAACGAAGCTGATCACCACCCGAAAGCCCGTCTGTTTCAATGCGACCGCTGCGATAAACAGCTTTCAAACGTGGGCAATCTTAACCGCCATATGCGTTATGACTGCGGTCGCAAAGCACGGTTCCCATGCCGCAATCCTGGCTGCCATACTGTCGTTTCCCGGAAGGAATACCGAGAAAAGCATGAGCGTTTAAGATGTCGATTGAGGTCGACAGGTGTCGGTCATCATGTGTTGTGAACTACATGGTGGTTGTACTTTAGATGTTCTGGAGCTGCCTCGTGTTCGCGAGATTGGCTTGATCAATAGTAGTCTGAGTAGCAATGTAACTAGTCCATATACATAGAACCATGCTTGCTTGGCATTGGAGTTCACAGTATGGTGGTGTTGTTCTTGTCTATGGTCCGGTCGGACGTGCGAACAGTCAGATGAGGCGTGAAGTTGAGGAAGCAGCATGGCCCGAGCTCCAAATATTTTGGTGACATCAACATGGACATCAGATTGCTGAACATCAATTCCACCATCAACCCTCGCAACACACAATGATGCCCTACAACCCAGCGCTCGCAGCGCGCTCGATACAAAGATGTCTCTCGCATACTCTCAGAAGCCAAACATTACGAAGAGGCGCAACATACTCATCAATTCCCGCGCAACGCTTCTCCACGACCCCATCCTCTCGCCATAATCCCACCACCAGCACAAGCGGCACCGTCGACCCCACCGAAGTATCGCACTTCAATGCCCTCGCCTCCACCTGGTGGGATCCGCACGGCCCCTCGCGCCTCTTACACCTCATGAACCCGCTGCGCCACTCTTTCATATCACAATGCCGCCTCTCCACACCCACCGAGAAACTGCGCTACCTCGACATCGGGTGCGGCGGCGGCATATTCGCTGAATCGGCTGCGCGCCTGCCCACTACGAAGAGCGTCACGGCTATCGATCCGACGCCTGAGGTCTTGAAGATTGCGGAGGGGCACAAGAGGCGCGATCCAACGCTCATGCAGCCGGGGAGGTTGAGTTATTTGAACACGTCGATTGAGGATTTACCGCTGCCTGCCACCCCGAACGAGGCATTTGATATCGTGACGCTCTTCGAAGTCCTCGAGCACGTCAATGCGCCCCGGCCCGTTCCTCGAACATGTGCTGCCGCACGTCAAGCCGGGGGGCTGGTTGATTCTCAGCACGATTGCGCGCACGTGGACGAGTTGGGCGGTGACGAACGTCATGGCGGAGGATGTGCTGGGCATAGTACCCAAGGGCACGCACGAGTGGAGTAAATACGTCAATGAGGACGAGTTGCGACGGTGGTTTGCGGGGCAGAAGGGGTGGGGCGAGGTGAGGAGCTTGGGGGTGGTGTATGTGCCGGGCGTGGGGTGGAGGGAGGTTAGGGGCGGAGAGGACTGGGGGAATTATTTCTTGGGAGTTAGGAGGGAGGGCTGACGCATGATACCCAGTCGGTTGTATGATAGTGAGTGCCTCTGAGGCGGTATATGTACACATTTGATACAGATGATGGTGTCCCAGTAACGCCTTGCAATGCCCCGCCATTCCATGGTCCTTCCCTAGTCATGCCTGCTCCATTCAACTCGTACCTTATGACTTTGTAGCAGGTCTCTCCTCGAACGGCACAGGTATGTTGAGACTGGTTGGCCCCCGATCTTCTTGCACCACATCGTGTCCTCCTGACAGCTTCCACGCCTCCAGGTAGTCCTTGCCTGTGAATTTTCTCGGATATGTTTCGAATCCTTCAGGTGTTTGGCGTGTCTTTTCGGTGGTTTTGGCGACGAAGGGCGTCAACTAGAGGCGGGTTGTTAGCAATTGCATCATGACTGCTGTGTACCTCCACCGCCACTCCTTCGGACTGCGTCTCCTGGGGATCGTACCTCGCTGTTCTTGGTGCCCATCTGCGGATAGACATATGTCCGTATCGCGCTCCAGTCCGGCGCGAAATTGCCATATCTCGTAATCGTGCCCAGCTTCCCGACCTTGTTGCCCTTGTAGTACTCCTTGCCCGCCTGTTTCGTCGACAGCGGCAGGCGCCGCAGCATCTTCTGCAACGGAGCAGTAGCTTTGAACATGGTGACGATCTGCGCCGAGCGTGGGCGATGCGATTGGCGATGGTGAAGGTCTTCCTCCCACGGCGGAGTTCTGCTCGGAGGTGAGGGCGCTAGCAACGGGCGCCGCAAAAAAGTGCGCGCCCGCCAAGATTTCGAACATTGTTCCACGCCCTCGCCTGCGAATCTTGCTCTCTTCACACACACCCAAAATGCCGCCTCGCGTCGCACGAAGCTCGCTGCAGAGCGCTGATAAGCCGGCAAAGGCTCGCTCGAACCCGCGAAACCCAAAGAAAAGCGGCGAAGCGTGCCCTCAACGCCTTCGCCATCGCGCAGTACGAGAACCCCGAAAAAGTCAAAATCAGCAAGAATCGCCTCGGTGAAGTCGATCCTTCGTTTCAGCGGAAACGGCCGCGCGACGACGAAGAGGAAGAAGAGGACGAGGATGAGGATGGCGAGCCAAAGAGGCGCAAGAGGAGGAGCGGAGAGGACACTTTCGACGAGGGAAGCGACTCCGAAGGCAACACTTGGACAATGGGACACATAGATGTCGACGACGATGACGACGAGGATATTGACTCCGACGAGGCGTTTGGTGAGAGCGACGAGGAGCGTTTCGAGGACTTTACGTTCCGTGGTAGCTCGACAAATAAGAAGGGCAAGGCGAAGAAGCCCAAGCGACCACAGAAGGATAACGACGACGACGATGACTTCGACATGGATGAGGGAGACAGTGCAGATGGCGAGGAAGATAGTGATGATCTGGGTGAAGATGCCATCGACCTGGCCACTGCGCTCGACCAATACGAGGAAGATGAGGCGGAAGAAAAGCGGGAGAAGGCGAAAAGGAAGAAGAATACATCTGCATTCGACAGCGACAGCGACGATTCGCCTAGTGAAGGCGAAGACGTCGGAGCAGACGGAGCATCGGACTTCTCCTCGAGTGACGACGAAGACGACGAGGATGACCGACAAGCACAATTGAAGGACTTGATCTCTTCTCTGGCGACCGAGAGTGAAGAGAAGGCAAAGGGCAGGAAGGTCGAGGTGCACGAGTCAGCCGTACCGGACGAGTTTGGTGTTTCCAGGAAAGTTGATCTCCTCAGCCTCAAGCCAAAGGTCGCCGATGAAGAGAAGAAGCGCGCATTGAAGCTCCTCCAAGACGACAAGAACTCCAAGCGAACCGACATCGCCAGGAAGCTGGAAGCCCCACTACCCAAGCGACAACAAGACAAGCTCGACCGCGCTGCTGCCAACGCGAAAGCGAATGAGACTCTCGAGCGATGGACCGACACCATCAAGCGGAACCGCCGCGCCGAGCATCTTATGTTCCCGCTGCAGAACAAGAGTGGTGGCGAGATGGTGGGAGAGACACGTCTACAGCCGACCACTACATCTGCGCCTGCCAACGATCTCGAGAGCACCATTCAGGCTATTCTACAGCAGAGCGGTTTGTCAAATGGCGCCGACGATGAAGACAAGATTCGCAGGGGTGAGGAACTTGAGCTCAACAAGCGACCAATTGAAGAAGTCATGAAGAACCGTGCTGCACTGCGAATGGCACGTGAACTTGCATTCCGCGAGGACGTACGGGCAAAGCGCATCAAGAAGATCAAGAGCAAGGCTTACAGGCGTGTACATCGAAAGGAGCGTGAGAAGCTGCTGGAGAAGGAGCGCAGCCAGCTCAAGGCTGACGGCGTAGACTTGTCAGAAGAGGAGCGCGAGTACAATGATCGTCGACGAGCTGAGGAGCGTATGGGGGCCAAGCATCGCGAAAGCAAGTGGGCCAAAGGCATCAAAGCTACGGGTCGCGCTGCATGGGATCAAGATGCGCTCGATGGCGTCACTGAGATGGCGCGACGCAATGAAGAGCTTCGTCGACGTGTCGAGGGCAAGGCCGTGCGTGATGCAAATGAAGATGCATCAGACGTGCCGAGTGATGAAGACGAAAGCGATGATGAGAGCGATCTTGACAACGCAGACGACGCAGCTCTACAGCGATCACTCGGCAAGCTCAAGCATAATCCCTTCTCGACCGATAACACCAAGTTGGGTCAGATGGCCTTCATGCAGAGAGCTGAAGCAGCCAAGCGCGCCCAGAATGACGAAGACATTGAACGTATCCGCCGCGAACTTGCAGGCGAAGACAGCATGGATGATGAAGTTGCGGAGAATGCTACAAAGAATGGACGTCGCAAGTACGGACCGGGCAAGGAGCTCTCGCTCCCCATGCAGATCAACCGCAATGAGTTTGAGGAGGGGCCTGACTCCGCTGACGAAGATGCACAACGGCCAGTCATGGGAGAAGATGAAGAGACTGTGGCGAATGGGGCACGTAAGACAAATAAGTCTAGTGGACCTCTTGCCAATGGCCTGGAGAATGCACGAAAGACACAACGGAAGGAGAGTACTGCAGCTGCCAGGGCCGCTAAAGCTGAAGAGGAGACGACCTCGAATCCATTCCTGGCGAAAGCTAAGAAAGAGAAGAAGTCGAAGCCCGATGCCGAGCTTGTTGCTTCTCTCAACAGTGTTGAGCCTGGACAGTCCGGCGTGCAAGCAAAGTCAAAAGCACAGGCGAAACCAAAAGCAAAAGCCAGCGAAAGGCCTCAAGAGACAATAGTCGACTCCTTCCTCCAACAGCGCGTCACTACAGCCGATGATGATGGCTGGGCCACGGTCCTAGGTGGACAAGACGACGACGAAGAAGCAGACGACCAAGCCGCCGACTCAGACGACGGCATCGACCTCAACCTCGTCCTCCGGAACCAAGCCCTTACCGCAAAAGGATTCGCAGGCGACAACGTAGCCGCCGACTTCGCCGCCGAAAAGCTCGCCACCATCGCCGACGAAGAGTCCACCACCGTCACTACAACGCTTCCCGGCTGGGGCGCCTGGACGGGCTCGGGCACAAAGTCTAAAGGCGCGCGCACCGTGACCAAGACACCCGGCATCGACGCGAACAAGCGCAAAGACAAGAAACTCGAGCGCGTCATCATCAATGAGAAGAGGCAGAAACCTACGACCAAGTATTTGGCAAGCCAGCTGCCGTTTCCGTTTGAGAATCGTGAGCAGTATGAGAGGAGTCTGCGCGTGCCCAAGGGCAAGGAGTGGACTACGAAGAAAACGTTTCAGGATGCCACGAGGCCGCGGGTTATTGTTAAGCAGGGGGTTATTGCGCCGCTGCGGAAGCCGTTGGTGTAATGGAAAAGTATCTAGATGTGAATACGGGAAATGGATGGCGCTCGAGGGCGTCTTATTGCACACGAGCACTTTACATGGAAACGCGACTTTGGCGGTGTATGTCGATGTGAATCCAGTTGTGTGACTTTTGAGGGTTGTTCACAGATTGTCTCCTCGAATGCGTCATGCTACAATTCTCATGTTCAATTCTGGAGGTTCACATAGAGATCGACCATATTCTTCGCGTGCCCAAGGACCCGGTCTGAATTATGCCGAAGACCCTGCACAAACGGCGAAACTACCACCTCGACTCGGAAGCGATCTGGCTAAATTCCCGTCTAAAGTGGTAAATCTTCCCAGGAACAATTCGCCGCACTATACTCATACAAGACGCGATCTACTAACGTCTTTTCCGATGCGGGATTAGCTCAACGCGGGGCTGAACTGCTAATGACGCCTTGCTAGCCATTGGTAGGCGAAGAGGTCAAGGTACGCATGCCATGCGAAGAAATTGTCCAAGACGCTGGAAGTCGGGATGCGGACCGAAGTGATCAGCGGGGTAGCGTGTAGTATATATTACTCCCCAAGTACCCGAAGCCAGCCTGTTGAAGTCGCGCCGCTGGAAATCCTCAAAACTTCACAATGAGGTTCCTACAAAGCCTCATCCCAGTGCTACTTGCCTGGTCGGCACCGGCTTTGGCAAAGAATTCGACATACTATAATCCTGTTCTACCAGGCTGGCACTCCGATCCTTCCTGCACGCCAGTCAATGGAACGTTTTACTGTGTGACTTCGACTTTCATCTCGTTTCCTGGCTTAGCCATCTACGCATCAAAAGATTTGATCAACTACAAGCATATCAGCCATGCCTGGAACCGCGAGTCTCAACTCCCGGGATACAGCTATGCCACCGATGCTCAGCAGCAGGGCATGTATGCCGCCACTATCCGGCATCACCAGGGTACCTTCTACGTGATATGCGAATACCTGGGTACGACAACAAAACGCACCAACGGCGTCTTGTTCAAATCGACAAATCCCTACGATGACGCAGCATGGAGCGACCCCGTACTCTTTGACGCCCCCAAAATCGACCCCGACATTTTCTGGGACGATGACGGCAAAGTCTGGGTTGCTACTCAAGAAGTCAGAATTCAGGAATTGGACATCAACACAGGCAAGACCGGACCAGTCATCAATCTCTGGAACGGTACGGGTGGTGTATGGCCTGAAGGCCCACACATCTACAAGAAAGACGGCTGGTATTACCTCTTGATCGCTGAGGGCGGAACAGCTGAAGACCACGCCGTCACCATGGCGCGAGCGCGAAATATCACCGGCCCATATGCCCCGAGTCCGCATAACCCACACCTAACGAACCGCGGGACAGACGAGTACTTCCAAACCGTCGGCCACGCAGACCTTTTCCAGGACAGCAACGGAAAATGGTGGGGCACCGCGCTCGCAACGCGCTGGGGCCCTCCAAGCAGCTCCTACTTCCCCATGGGCCGCGAAACCGTCCTATTCCCCGTCACATGGAACAAGAATGAATGGCCTGTCATGCAGCCCGTGCGCGGCGTCATGAACGGCTGGCAACTTCCCACCCCATCGCGCGACGTCCCCGGCACAGGACCGTTTGACTCTGACCCTGATGTCTACGATTTCCCGGCAAATAGCACGATCCCGAGGAACTTGGTGTACTGGCGCGTCCCGCTGCCCGGCACATTCAGCACAACGCAGAACGGATTGGAAATCGTGCCCGGCAAAAACAACCTGCAGAACAAATTCAACAACACCAACCCCGCAAGTAAAGCCATCGCATTCATCGGCCGCCGCCAAACAGACTCGACCTTCACCTTCAGCGTCGACATGTCCTTCTCCCCCACCAAGGATGGACAGGAAGCAGGTATAACCGCCTTCCTAACACAATACGCGAACATTCAATTAGGCGTCACGACGCACAACGGCTCCCTGGCCTTCCGCTTCAATGACACCGCCGCCCGCAACGTCTATACGCCCGTCCCCACCGCGTGGCAAGGCAAGCCTGTGAGGCTGAGCATTGATATGTCCATTCCTTCTGAATACATCTTCTCCGCCTCTTCGCCATCGTCCCCTGCCTCTGCCATCCAACTCGGTAAAGCGTCGACGGCGCAGGTTAGCGGCGGCACGGGCAGTTTTGTGGGCACGCTGGTGGGCGTGTATGCGACGTGCAATGGAGCCGGGGACAAGGAGTTGGAGTGCCCTGCGGGCACGCCGAAGGTGGGCGTGAGGAGGTGGAGGTATGAGGGGAAGAGGCAGTGGATTGATAAAGAGAGGAGTGTAGGGTGGGCGGAGTTTAATCGGGGTGGTTAGATGGGGATGATTGGGGTGTGGGTTGTGGATAGCTTGGAAAGAATTGAATGGAGTGATGCTTTGAAGTGGAACTCTTGCTGTGTAGTTCGCTCGTACCTTATCTTGAGTAATGCTTCTACTACAGCAAGTCAGTTTGAGCTTTATATGAGTAATACACCAAACAATAGTCCTTCCGACTTAAGAAAGCACTGGTGGAAGAGGTGTGACATCGGATATAAGACGACATGCTGTGCAGGGGTCAATCATTGCGGCCCAGTTACAACCTAGACACCTGTCAGTGTCAGATTGCCATGCTTCGCGATCAACGATCTTCCGTGTTAGCACGAATAACATGATGCAGTTATTGCGATCTCCCCACAGCGGCCCGACTAGCGCTGTGTAAAGCAGGTATTCGTGGTCACACGCTAGACGTGTACGCCACCATAGATGAGTCGGGATGACGTAGACGCGACCAAACATTTTAGTACACCAAAACATCCAGCTTGCAACAGCACACCACGAAAAATGACAGCTCAGCAAACGCAAACAAAGCAAGCGAAACCAAAAAGTGCGAACACGAAGCAAAACATGGCGACCGAAAACCAACCTCCACAAGGCATCTCTGAACATGAGATCAAGCAGAACTCGGGTGTCACTGCGAGCATGGCACTCCAAGCCGCGCAGAAAGCATGGGAACTACGACAAGCTGCAAACGCCGCAGGAGACCCCGATGCCCGCGAGAAGATTCTTGCGAAAGCCATCAACAAGGAAATCGAAGCCGAGTCCTTCGGCAAAGCAGCAAAATACACCCGCTCAGGCGCCTTCCAAGGCCTCGCCGCCGGCGCCGGTCTAGGAGTCCAACCAGGCGTAACCATTGGGAAACTAACCGGCGCTCTCGTCGGCGGTGTCGTTTCGACCGTCACAGGTCTTCTCGGCGGCGGCATTGGATCCGTGTACGGCGCCATGAACGGACCATTCTGGGACCTGGGAGAAATGGCAAGTCACGGTGTTCGCGGCGTGATTGGCGATTTTCCCAATTGGAAGTCGACACCGGCGCAGCAGAAGGCGCTTGTGAGAAGATGGTCATGCAGACGAATGGACACGCAGGCGCCGACGCAGGAGGAGCTCGAGCAGATGAAGGCGGAGGCGCCGGACGATATGCCGCAGTCTTGGTCGCAGAGGACGAGCGAGTTGACGAGTTGGAGGCCGTCGATGCCGAGTATGCCGTCGATGCCGTCGGCGAAAGGTGCAGGTGCTGCGCTGGGGCTGGGTGGGCTGGGGGCGTCGATGCCGTCGTGGGGTGGAGGTGGGCAGCAGCAAGCTCCAGCTCAAGTGAATCAACAACAACCTGCGCATACTCAGAGTCAGAGACCAAAGCCTGCAACGAGGCAGCAGTCGAAGCAAGAACAGCAAACACCTCAAGAGCCGCCCAAACCGAAAGAGGCTCCTACGCCCAAGGAAGCACCTAAGATTGAAAAGACACAACCTCAACAAACGAACGGAACGAACGGATCGAAGAAGGCGTCTACATCACAAACCCCTTCTAAGTCAGCGGGCTTCTAGTGCAAAAAGCAAGGCTGATGCGCCGAAAGGAAGCTTCAAACCCTCAGGCAAAGACCAAACCCGCAGCTACCAGTCAATCCCAAGCAAACCACTCCAAGCGCAGATAAAGAGAACAAGGCACCAGCGAAAACTGAAGCAGAGAAGAAGAAACCAAGGAAGCTAGCTCCAAAGGAAAGCGATGCGAAGCCTAGCCAAACACCTGCTCAGAAGAAGGCTCCGCGAAAATTAGAGTCGCGCAAACCTGCTGCGTAAATCGCCATCGCGCTGCTGCCTTCGACTTGCATGTGGCTATGCGGAAGATGTCCTCACGAAATCTCAACACACGATACACGAATGCAAGTATGCTGCCTCAGGCTGCATGCAATTTCAACGGGGCGTTAGGTTGCGAGCTGCGCCACAGTGAAGTCGCCTCGCAGCCTACCACATCTTGGCTATCAACAATGTACTGAGCCACACAACATATGATATGGATGAAGATAGAAGCTATATATCCCCGTCAGTGTTTCAATTCTTGGTATCGATTTTTAAAAGTTACGGCCATTCCAGCGCCAAACTCACGATCATAATCCGCTCATCCGAACAAGTCATGGCACACATACTCTCCGACCTCAAGAGGACGCCCACTACAGGATTTCAACGTTTACCTCTGGAGATGCGTAACAAGATCTATCTCGATGTAGTCGATCCAGTTCTCGACATCACAATACCACTCGGCACGCATAACTTCTTTGACCGCTGCGGAGACGGCTCCTGGCGCAAGAACCTAGACAAACGCCTGCCACCGTGTCTCATTCTCCGTCGTCAGATCAAGAACGAGGCGATCGAAGAAATGCATCATAGCGCAATGCAGCTTATCAAGAAGATCACTCTGTCCGACCCAGACGACCTGCTCAAAGCTCTGCCAGCCACGACAAAGCTGAATGGCCTGCATGAGCTCGTCTTGACGGGGCCAAGATGGGATTTCAAGGAACCATTCCCGTCAAACTCCATCCGCGACATCCTCTTGCGCTGCCCACATCTCCAAGAACTTACCATCACTATTCCAGTATCAGTCTTTTCGAACGACTACGAATCCTACTTCGGCTACATCTTCGAGCATGGTAACCTGAACAAGTTGACCGTGAATTGCCACGATGCGCCGCAGCACCCGCGAGCAAACAATCAATGGTGGTGCGACGATTATACCTTACCCAGACCCTTCGAGCGGTGGTTTTTGGACGAGTGTGAAAAGAGAAGACGTGGAATTGCGCTCAGCGTAGATCTATCTCCTGGTCAACAGTCCAACGGTGGCGAGCATGTAAGGAAAACTAAAGGGAATATTAAGTACATGTACAATATGGATTGGTTTGGGTAGGCGATTCCAGGTTTTGTAGATTTCTGCCGTAATTTGCCAGAACATCTTCGCACTCCACGTAGCCCCGCTACACTTGCAACCTTTCGTCCTGACGATATCCGGTGTTATAATTGGTCCGAAAATCATAGCGCGTATAGGAGGAAAACTGAAGAACCTGTTACGTCTATGCACAACATGGATTGGTCCGGGTAGATCATTAGTGTTGGTGACGTGCAGCAATATAAATGTTCGGGGAAGATGACACCCTTCGCGTGCCGTGCCGGACCACCTTCCAGCTTCACATTCCACGTGGTACCGCCTAGGCCTCGTTTTAGTAATTGGTTGGCAAATCCACATCGTTTCCAGCAACCGAGCAGGGATCATGTTTCACAGACCGCCCCACTGGGGGACTCTAAGAAAATACGCACCCCGCAATTGCTCCTCGAATGATTAAAGGATAAACGCCTGAGGAACACGTTATAGAATTCTCCGTAGCTAGCACAAGTGCCGGTCCAATGGCCTGCGGCTGGTAAAACCACGGCCCGCTCGTAGTAGGGGGCTAACGCGTGAAGGACATGAGAGTGTCACGAGAGGGCTTGTTTTATGCTGCACCTATTCTTGGCTTTGCTGAAACAAGCCACCAATGCGTCGATTCAATGTACTAGCATAAACGGCTGTGCGAATATGTACTGAGGATAGATTAATATTCTCCGGACTCTAGGGCTTGGATGGATATGGCGTCGTCACAACATTCTTGGCTGGGATGTAGTATAAACATGAGGTTTCTGAGTAAACCTGAATGAAACATTGTTGATCTCATCTTCGAATCCAATCCAGTCGTTCCTGAATAAGATGCTGTTCTCTTCTTCCATCGTTGGCGCGCTGCTCGTCAGTATGACTACAGTTCTCGGTGCTCCAGCATCATACGACAATGGTAAGTCGAACCACTCTCTGTAACCACACCCATAATATCTACTAATAAGCATTCAGTATCACCATCCACGAACCTCGACGTCCTCACCAAGCGCGCCAACTCCGCTGGGTGCGGCAAAACCCCAACCCTCAAGAACGGCGTAAACTCCGTCAACGTCAACGGCAAGCAGCGCCAATACACCCTCCGTATCCCCACCGGCTACACCAACAGCAAGCCCTACAAGCTCATCTTCGCCTGGCACCCTCGCGGTGGCTCCATGAACGACATTGCTGGTGGCGGCTCTGATGGCGCCGCATGGGCATACTACGGGCAGCAAAAGAAAGCCGCTGAAAGCGCCATTCTCGTCGCACCCAACGGCCTAAACGCCGGCTGGGCCAACAACGGCGGCGAAGACATTGCGTTCCTCGACGCCATGCGTAAAGCTATCGAAGCCGACCTCTGCGTCGACGAAGCTCAACGCTTCTCCACTGGCTTCTCGTATGGCGGTGGCATGTCATACTCCATCGCGTGCTCGCGCAGCAAGGAGTTCAAGGCCGTCGCTGTCATTGCTGGAGGCTTGATTAGTGGCTGTGAAGGCGGCAATGATCCTATTGCGTACCTCGGTATTCACGGAATTAACGACAATGTTCTGCCGATTGATATGGGGCGACAGCTGAGGGATCGGTTTGTCAAGAACAACGGTTGCACGGCGCAGAGTCCTAGAGAGCCGGGCAGTGGGAGCGGGTTACATGTTAAGACGAGTTATGCGGGGTGTAGGTCAGGATTCCCGGTTACGTGGATTGCATTTGATGGCGGACATGGGCCTGCGCCGGTAGAGGGTGGTGGGGACAGTGGAGCGAGGACGTATGTTTCTGATGAGATTTGGAACTTCTTCCAACGGGTCCACTTAGAGAGTGGTGTGAGAGGATGATTTCTTGGGGATGAAGTGTTATTATTCAATTCTTGCATGTAAATAAGAAATTCATGTTTTCAAGTACAAAATATTTGGTACCTCGACTTTGAGGTTTCGACCATCAACCTGACTCACTCGGATGCTCCCTTCTCTTCTAGGAGTTTGACGATTTCTTGATGGCCGCGTTGCTTCGCGATGGCTAAGCAAGATGTCCCTCCATCGTCTTTGGCTTGCGCATTCGCGCCTCGCTCCAAGAGCAATCGCACGCATTCTAGGTGTCCCTGTCTACACGCCCGGTAGAGACTTGTTCCCTCTGACGCATATGGATCTTCTTCCTCGCCATCGAACGGATACCACTGCACGGTACGATCTTCAGTGTCAACGCCATAGTCGAGAAGAAGTTTGAGGGCTTCCAGGTTTCCCTCATTGCCAGCCAGCATCACCGCCCCCGTCCCTTTCAAATCGATACCATGTTGAAGCAGAAGCTTCAGTATCCTCAGCGAAGTCGGTTCATGCTTGATTGCGGTGAACACTGCGCCGTCGCCGTATATGCCATCGACTGGAGTTGGTCTGTGCCCATGTTCTAGTAGCCATTTCGCAAGGTCATAATTATCGCCTGTGATCGCGCTCGCGAGAGCATCGCCACTGGTTTCGCTTTGGTGGGCATTGAGATCCCAGCCATGGTCAAGCAGGACTTTGAAGATGTCTGTCGATGCGCCTGAGCAGACTTCGCTGAAGAATTTGTCGTTAAACGATGGTGACTTGGGTTTCCATCCTTGTGTGTAGCACCATTCGAGGATTGTGGGCTGCCCTTTGCGTGCAGCTTGTCTGGCTATTTCATCGAGCGACATGTCTGATTCGTACAGACTCTGCAGCTGTGCAAGATCGCCAGTCTTGATCGCAGCTACGACTGCTTCCGATAATTGAGGGGACGAAGTCATGGTGTATGTGGAGTTTGAGTATCTTTGTTTCCTTCTGGGCGAATGCAGGTTGGAAAGATGCGTTCCAGGGTTGGTAGATGAAGTCCTCAAGTGCAGTCGCCTACCCGGTAAAGGTGTACGAAGAAGGCAGCCGCCATGACGTCATACCCTTTCAGACCCTAATCTAGGTCATCAGAGAGTAACTTCAGCCTCCACAAGGCGGTGCCTGTCATGTTTCAAGGCAGTGGAATGGCATGCCTAAGGCCAGCAGTGCTAAGTCTTCTCACATCCACTTATGCAGGCTTAGCGCAATGCTTCGCCCCAACAGGCGCCTGGGGACGCTCGATCGGCCCCCATCACGCTTTGCAATAACCACATTGCCTCACGAGAGCACTGTTGATTTTACAAGCCAGATGCAAAGTTACCGATGCAGCGTTGTTGAGTTGTAGACTTCGTGTTGTATGTTCCAAGGTTGCTTCCGCGGCGTCGGCAAGCTGTACGCTCTGTATCACACAGTATCTCGAGTCCCTTCGAATATTCCTGTACCTCGACGGCGAGACAATACTCCTTGCGACTTGTTACTAAGATATTTTACATGATTGCATGCTTGATGATCCTCGTGTAATCTAAATTTAGCTTCACGCAGCACTGGTGTTTGCTTCTGGCGCATGCGGGTTTGCAGATCCGAGGCTGAGATCTCGGCATGCAGGAACGCCAGCAGGCATCACCATCTACGACTAGACTCCATCAAGGCCTACCACAAGGACTGAGAGGAGGCGCTTGCGCTCTCAGGCGAGCTGTTGTCTTACATGTTTCCTTCTTGATACACCATCATCGAGGCCAAATTTTCGTACTGGATCCACCTTGTCCTGCCTGAACACGCTCCATGTCGGGACAGGCCAATGGAAATTGTGTAGGGCAGGATGCACTTAAGCCAATGTGGAGATTATAGGGCCGCCAAAAAGTAACTGCAAACAGGGCGTCCAGAGCTCCATCAGCACTGCCTCGAGATGAGAATTCGCATCGCATTAAAACTAGGTGCAGACGTTCTCATCAAAGGTGTATAAGAGCTGGATCTTCCCAGAAACATAGCAGCTATCATCACCTACATTTGCATTCATCGAGCTTCACCCTGTTCTCTGCTTTCTCTCTGTACATCCTAGTACGAGATGATTTCGAATAAGACGCTCACTTTCTGGCTACTGGGAGCACTTACATGGCTCTTCCTCTTGGGTTCTCCAACCAATGCCGCACCTACTGCTATTTCGATTGCATCAGACCTTTCGGGTTACCATCCACTAGCTGATACTACCTCTCTCGTCTCTCGAGCGGATAAAGATCCTCTTCCCCATAGCAAACAGGAGCTAAAGGAGAAATTTTACAAATCTGGACCAAAGAAGGACAAGTCATGTTTCTTCACTGGCATGGACATCGACAAGGCGCATAACGCTGCTCAGAATACGGCAGACGCGAAAAGACAATGCAAGGCTGCGAAACTTACCACACTGGATGGCATTTGGAACAAGAACAATATTGTCAACCCTGGTGAATGGGCGAACAAGGGGAGAGGCGAAGGGGACGATTTTGATGCTTTCCTAATCTGGGTTTCAGAGATCTTTGCTGAAGAGACAAGTGGAACATCCTATCTGTTCATTCCCGAGTCCACCAAACCTCGAAAGCAAAGCATTTTCTTTGCCAATGAATTCAAGGCGATGAAAGACGGCGGGAAGGTTGACAAGATTGCGCAAGTCAAGTTCGAATTCGGCAAATCACCCTCGCTCCCAGATGCCTCTAAGGATGAGAATTTGTGGTGGAAGAAAAGGTGCCGCTGATCCGCCTACCTCGAGATGAAACTGCTCCCGCGCCAGCGCCAGCGCCAGCGCCAGCGCCAGCACCAGCGCCAGCAGCTGTATCGCTTCAATGCTTTGGTACAGGTAACAGCAAGTACATCAACCGCGAGGGCATCATGAAGGTCATCGACACATTCTGCGACGAAGCCGCCCAAGCAAGGCACTCTCGACAAAAGACTCAGGCTCGATTGCGCGGACGTACAACAAAGACACCCCTGAACAAGTCGACATTGCCATGGACTACAGACCAGGTCTCAACTGGCGCCCAATGAAGGACAAGTGCGTCGAGCAAATGATGATCGCCACTGATGGCTGCGACACCAACGACAACCACTGGAAGGGCGGCGGCTCTCGCAAGGACACCGACGTCACATATCACTGGGCTCCTTCAAACCCTCGCAGCGTGCCTGTTGAACAAGCGAAGGTGTGGGGTGGCTGTGACGGAACCCGTGGAGGCAGCTACACAGTTTGGGGTGCACACTGGGCCGGTGATGACTTTGGCTCGGAGTTATTGAACAATCTCAAGGGCAAGGGTATCAGCCCTACGCAGTGGAAGTTCAACTACGGCGGGGGCGATGATCATCGCGAGTGGACTGCCAAGTTCCAGACAATCATTCACGCTTGGCCACAGGTTGAGTCGTCGATGGAAAGTGTCGCTGGCTGGGATATGGATGTTCGTTGCAACATCCACTGAGGTTGAGGGCGTGCATAGTTAGATTGTGGCGATAGTGGAATTGCCTACAGCTTGATTAGATATGTGGCGCAAGCATTTAGGGCGCAGCTTGTTTGGAGTTTTTAGAGATAGACCAACATGAACGCGAGCATGTTTTGGGAATTTTGTTTCAACTTCGAATTTTCCCGCTGGACCACATAGTCAACTTTCACACTCTTGATCCATGCCCCCTAACCGAAGCTATTCGAAAACATCGCGGACAAAGCGATCTTCCCCTAGTTACCTTATCCACCCAAGCCTGCGACTTCTCGCTCGCTCCGGTGTTGAACTCTTTTCAGATCTCCTTGCACACCTACGCTGTACTGTTGGCTAACTTGGCCGCGCTGCCGCAGATGAAGACCTTCCCATTCTTCTTGCCAGATGTTCGCGCAAGCTCTTCGTGACCCTCCCACATGCGATCAGGGACATGATGCGTTTTGGCACCCTGTGGCGTGACCTTTGGAAAGCATGGTCGGACACTGACGGACTCATCAGCTTCCCGCTGTCTCAGCTCATTGGAGTATATAAAATCTTTCTCGTGGTGCCGATGACCAAAGTAAAGGATGGCAGGGCCAAGTGCCGTTGCATGAAGGCGTGCATCATTGCGATGCCCGTATCAGCGCAGACCATAATAAATGGAACCCCTAGGTCGACGTGAAGGCAGAAGCCAGTATTGGTGGCGATCGTGAGTCAGCGGATCTTATCACCAAGTTCTTTGCGAGCTAGGTCAGTTCATGCGACACGGAATTGGCGATTAGATCTGCTCCTGGCTATTCGTTAGTGTACATTATACGTCAGTGATGCTGCAAGCTTTGAGCTAGATCCGCGTGGGTTTTCTACCAACTGCGCATTGGCAAGCGGTGAGGCAGCATTGATCGCGTTCGAGCAATGGCGGATGAGCAGGAACCAAAAGAGCACAATGCATTCGATCGGTTCTCCAGCCTGTCTATTTGTTGCAGCACCAAAAAGCACGAAAGATGTGAAGTTTGGGCTGAAATTAATCAATCTGCCCAGAACCCCGCGCGAACGGTACGGCCATGATCCCGGAGACGGCTGGCCTCCTCTCATGAGTCTCCACCTTGGAAGATAGATCGCTGTGAGGAAATCGCCAATCGATGAGGGCCGTCCTGGACCGCCTGCGTCCAACACAAACAGTAAGACTCTTCTAGCGCACACCATTATCTCAAAGCGAATCCTTTCCTTAGCTTGAGTAGGTTTGTACATGATCATACCGCTTCGACTGCGATAACCGCAACTATCGTTTTCACAAAAGACAGAATAGTTCAGAGAGGCTTTTGAGCAAACAAAGTAATTAGATAGATGGCGTCAAGATGGTATAGGCGCAATGGAATGCTACACATATTGTTACCCGCGACCAGACTTGCACAAAACGAGTCGAGAGTAATCGCAATGTCCCGAGCTTCAGTTTGTTGCAACATCGCGATCGAAGAATGCCATCCGAATAAAGTGGACTGCGTGAAGGGTTTGCGACAAGCAACGGAGCTTGCGGGTGCTTGCCGTCATATAAGTGGACCTTTTCCGCCTCAACACCAAGCAAAGCGGACACAATAATCCACCTTGCCGCTGTTCGCCTGTACACACCGTTCCACCTTCGCGCATTATCTTCGAGTTATGCAATTGTTGGCCAACAATGTTCTTGTACCAATGCAAATCGTGCCCACACATGCGGCTTCCTAGTGATATGCCAGGAAGTCTCTTTTGGTGTCGCAGTCCGAAGTAAGACGTCATGGAGGATCTTCAGCAGCAAGCAATAGGTGGTTATGAATGACCCGGCGCACCCGTCTCTGGAAGCATTCGCGACGCGACCTTTCAGTGAGAAGGACCCTTTCCTCGTTCATATTTGCAAACATGTCGCAAGAAAAGGAGCAACATACAGCGCATCCCTCAGGAGACCAAACACCGCAAACTTCTACTTCCATTACACCAAGCCTGCGCTCCAACAAAGATGACGAGAAGTCGCAATCGAGCACACCAGGAGCACCCTCCGACGGCGTCCTGCAACAACATCCTCCTGCTGAAGTTCGCGCAGATGGCAAGCGCGAACTGAAGGAATGGGAGTGCTGGGATCAGCTCGCGTACAAGTGGCCCAACCATGGAAGAAAGTGCATGTATCTCTCGTCTATCGCACTCATCCCAGATCTCTATGAACTTCAACACATCGGTGTATCCCTCCGCTGTAAACCCCCTCTCCGAGCATTTCGGAATATCGCTGCAAGCTGCGCGCGTTGGCCAAATGATCTATTTGGTGTTTTACAGCTTTGGGTGCGAGCTATGGGCGCCATGGTCGGAAGAATTTGGTCGCTGGCCGATCCTCCAGCTTTCGTTATTTCTCATCAACATCTGGCAGATTCCAAACTCAGTGGCGCCGAACTTTGGGACTATTGTGGTCTGCAGAGCACTTGGCGGGCTGTCCACGGGCCGGGGGTTCCGTGACGCTTGGGTTGATCGCGGACCTGTACGAGCCGGAAACACAGCATTGGGCGCTGAACTTCATCGTATTGAGCTCAACCATTGGTACGAGCATTGGCGGCGTCATTGGAGGTCCAATCGAACGATGTGAGTACTCCCACTTCCGCGCTTGAGTCAGCTCAACTAATGCATCACCAGATCTGTCATGGCATTGGAACTTCTGGATCCAGCTCATCTTCGGAGTCACCGTACAGGCCATTCACTTCTTTATGCCCGAGAGCCGCTCGACCATCCTCATCGACCGCGAAGCAAAGCGGCGGCGCGAAACCGGCGAAGATCCAAACGCGTACGGACCCAACGAGCTCAAGAAGCCGCGAATATCATTTAAAGAAGCAGGGAAAATTTGGCTACGGCCATTTGAGATGTTCGTTCGCGAACCCATTGTCTTGTTCTTGTCGCTTCTTTCTGGTTTCTCCGATGCGCTCATCTTCACGTTCCTCGAGGCATTCGCCATCACGTTCCCAGCAGAACTTTGGTTTCGGCACGCTGCAGGTTGCATGGGCTTTCATTCCCATCAACGCATCGTACTTCTTCACGTACTTCCTGTACTGGCCGTGGTTCAAGCGCGACGAACACTTGAGGAGGAAGAACGGACCCGATTCGCTGTCACCCGAGCGTCGCCTCAAGCCGCTTCTCTTAACTCGCTCTATGGCGAGCCGACTCGGTCTTTTGGATTCGCATGGACTTGTACCGGCCCACCGCAGACACATTGGATCGCGCCAATGATCTTCTCGTTCCTCTCGGTTTGGCCCAACTTTGCAATCTACTACTCCTCCGTCGACTACATGATTGCAGCATACGGACCCTACTCTGCATCAGCTACCGGCGGCAATGCGTTTGCGAGAGACTTTCTTGCCGGTATCTCAGCGATGTACGCTGCACCGTTGTACCATAATCTCAGCAGGACCAGGCCTTCGGAATACGCGACCACGGTTCTTGCTGGCTTGTCGTGTCTGGTAGTAGTCCCCATTTACGTCTTCTATTGGAAAGGGCCGCAGATCCGAAAGGCTTCGAAGTTCGCGTCAATATTGGCAGAGGACAGGAAGGCCGAGGGTGTTCGGCGCCTTAGCAAAGCTGACAATCTTCAAGTGTAAGCATTGAAATGCTACGCATGATGTGGGAACTAGACGCATAGCAGCAAAGATGTAGCAAAAATACGAACAATGAATTTGCACTCTTGTTGTGCTTATGTTCTTAAGTCAGCTCTTATTCTTATTAGAAATAAGGATCTTAGGTTCTAGAAAGGAGCCTGTTGTTAAGTCTAACCCTACGCCTACTCTATTCTTAATAAGTTGTAGAATAAGAGTTAGAACAGAGCTTATTCTACGAGAAACTATAAATTCTCAAGAGCTTATTCTATAAGACTACTACTTCTGTTCTTGTTAAAGATTGCAACGTGCTAAATCTGCCTCTGCATGTAACTTGCTAAAACCTTAGTAGTTACGCAATAACGTTAAGTAAGTAATACTATGCTTTTTAGTAATCTCTGCATAATAGAAGTCTTCTTTAGCGCTAAGAGCATCTAGCTTTAGAAGAGCCTTCTCTATAGTTATTATAGTGTTAAATTATAGAGGCGTAAATAATTAAGCAAGTGCATAGATATAGTAACTAACTAGTTAACTGCTCTAGCTTAGCCTCTTAACTATACGCTTAGCTTCTTATCTATATACTTAGCTCTCTTAATATTATTACCTACCTAATATAAGGCGAGGTTTTAGGCCTATCTAATATAAGGTAAGGTTTTAGGCCTATCTAATATAAGATAAGGTTTTAGGCCTATCTAATATAAGGCAAGGTTTTAGGCCTATCTAAGGTAATTCGCGCTGAAATAGGCTTAATATTAAGAGAATGCTAAGTAAAAAAAGAAAATTATAACTCTGCATTCGCAATTTATCTACTCTCTAATTTATCTCTATCTAGCATATATTACAAAATATTTCTATAAGAGAATCTTCTTATACGTATCTATTAAATTAATTTCTAGAAGATCCTACTATATAGAGTAGTATCTATTACTCTATAGTATTACGTAATTAGCGTATTTACTAATAGAGCTTATATAGAATATCTAAGCGCCTATATTATAGTAGTAATAGTAAGATAATAGTAGTAGCTTTATTATAAGCTATAGGTTATAGAGACTATTACTTAAGAATTATAATAATACTTTTTACTTCTTAGAGAATTTTAGAGTATTAGTATATAAGGAGCACTATACTAGAGTTATTAATCTTAATAAGTATCTGCTAGAGCATTATACAATACTAGATACTTTATAAAAAGAGATTATAGAGCAATTTAAATGCTTCTCTAGAACTAATCTAAAAGCAGTTAAGCTTCTAGAGTCTCTAGCTTATCTAATTAAAAAGCTAAGATTACTACTTAATAGTCTTAAGTGTAAAATATATAGCTTTATTACTATAAATATAGATAAACTACGCATGCACTATAGAAAAAATTACTAGTAAGCTTAAGTAGGTAATAAAAGTATTTTATTTAAATCTATAAATATACAGATATTTTTTAGTAGCAGTAAGTTATAAAACTATTTTATTATTAATTTAAGTATTAGAGAAAATAGAGAAAAATTAGATTCTAACTATATTGCTTGCTAGCAACTTAATAAATATTAGCAAGTATAAAAATAGCTTAAAGAAGACTTATAAGTTATAGAAGAGGCTGCAAAGACTAATAAGACTAAGTAGTTAAAGAGAACTAAATAGTTAGTATTCTTTAAAAGCTAGAATCTTATTTATCTAGAATATTAAGCCTACTTACTTAACTAAAATAAGATAAAACTGCAAGTAGCTGCTTAATTAACAGAATACTTAGTTAAAAAATATATTAAGAGCTTAGTAACGCTTTTCTAGAAAATATAGCAATAGCTTCGTAGTATATAACTAACTAAAGTTAATTAATAGCTGCTAGCATAACTATAGAACTCTAAAAGTTAGATAATATATGCTAGCTATATAGTCTAATTTATCTACTTCTATCTTTAGATTATTATAGATAAAGAAGCTTAAGTAGAATAGTATATATTATAGAAAGATATAGCTATTAATAGTAGTAAGAAGTTAAGCAGTAAGAACGCTAGTATAGAGAGTAAATATAATAATAGTAATAATAATAATAATACTAATAGTAATAAGAACGATAGTACTATGCTGCAGCGCTAATAGTATAAGAAGATATAGGCTAATAAGATAAAAGATGCATAGAAATTATTTCGTTAGAAGGAATAATTAGAAGGCGCTAGTAATATAGTTATAGCTTACTCTTAATAGCAGTAATCTAGTAGCTTAGATTAATGCTTTGCTTAACTTATTAAGTTTATTTATACTTATAAGCTATAGCAATATTACGTTATCTAGTAGATTAGTATAGTTTCTTACTATACTTAGTATAGATACTAAGATAAAACGCTTATGCACTATAAAGAACTACTTATATATACTAGCAGAAATAGTATACTGTATCTAAATTCTAAGAGCTAAGAAGCTTCTTCTAGTAGTAAGATATAATAAGTAGATAGAAGAGTACTGCAATTAATTTCTAGAGATATAAAGAAAGTATCTTGCTAATAGATTATATAGCCTAATAAGTAAAATAGTATAGAGAAAAAAGGTGTACGTGTAATAGACTTAGAGAAAATTTCTAAAAAAAAATTATCTTAGAAAAATTAATTTCTAGCTAAAATAAAACGTAAAAAAAATAAGTTTCTAAATTAGGTATAGTTTTATTCTAGCA